TTGTGGAATTTCATATCGTTGGATGATCGTCAAGACATGCACGCAAAGCTCGCTCTGCAACTCGAGCTATCTCGGGAGGTTCCACTAACTATTGAGCTCACCCCACCTTTGGAAGAATGGGACGCCATCAAGTTGGAACTTGCCGACCATTATCCTAGAATAGACACTATTTCATTTCGTACGAAACAAGGAATGGATTCCAGATACCATACTCAAAAACAAGCGGACGAGTTTCGAGAATTCTTGAACAACATCGGGCCTCTTCCTAACTTGCGATGCCTAGGAATCCTTGGGGGCTCTGGAAGAGGGATATTCAATATCAAAGAGATTCTAAATCGCTTTCCGTCTTTAATAGAGATGCCAGAAGTCCCACTCACTGCCGATGACCTTCAATTAGCCAAAGATAGGTTAAATATCCGTACGTTGACTACGTACGAGAACCCAAATTCAATCCTACCTATGGTACAAACGATTGTTAACCTCAAGGAGGTTGATTTCCTCAGTACATCTGGGTGGCCTCTCCCGGATATCGCCGAACAAGAGAAATTCCCAGCGGAGTTATCTAATTTGACTAGCTCGCTTGGTTGGACTACGCTTGCATATCGAAGATATGAAGAAGCTATATTAACCTCTTTTTGGCCAAGTCTCTCGTCTCTCGTCTCACTGCACATGTCAATATACATCAAGGGCGTTTACGACCTGGCCAACACCGTGCATCATCTCCATAATCTACAAGAAATTCGACTACAACTTCAAATCTACTCCACTGATCGCCTTTTATCCATGGATCATGCTTCTCCCAATTTTAGTGTACGTTCGTTGGGTTTTATGGTTTACAGAAAATCACGTCGCGAGGTACAGCAGACTAATGACGAAGTAAACGATAACATATTCAACCATATGAATAATATACTACTCTCATTGCTCCAGGTGATGCCAAAACTCAACAATCTCGATCTCTATATTGACAATATATTCGGACAAACTCCCCTTCCTTCCATTTCATTCGACCGAAGTTTTGGAGGAAAATTTAATGGAGAGAAGTTAGACTTGTATTTCTACGGAGGCAAACTGATCCCACACGAGTCCTCGATCCCGTCGTCGGTGCATGATCTGGTTTTAGTCCTCCACAGCGATAACTCATTCGACTCCTTTTCTTCAAAGTTCATTAAGCATCTTTATGTTTCTTCGTACACCTATTTCCCAGAGGTTCGGACTAGCGATAGATCGAACATCCTTGACCTTGAGCTTTGGCCATCCCTCGAGACTCTTCGTATCTCTACTGGTGGAATTCGATGGAGTAGCTTCTCTTTGGTATTCCTCCGAGAGGTGGCCATACACAATGATCTGGAATCGAATATTCATAATGCATCCACCTGTTT